ATTTACTGTCAGTTACCAAAATTTTTATTTTTATTTGGAATGTCATTTAGTCGTGTATGTGATTTAGAGATTTATTGTCTACACTCTTCACCTTTCTCATTAAGCATTTCAGATTGCGAAAAAAAAGTGTATGTGATGGAAAGAATTATTGTAAATGTGTTTACTTCAAAATTCATTTACTTTTCTCTTCGTACTAACATTTCTAATGCCAGTTTATATTCTCAGGAAGTAGATTACATAATGTCGTGAAATAAAACATTATGCAACCCGGCTAGCGGTAATGGCTTTATTGTTCAGTCTATGAGACAAACTAACCAACTGGAAACGCTGAAATAAGTGCAAAAGACTTTCAACCTCGGAAACGTTGGTTTGAAATTCATTACTCGAGACAATGAGCTAAATTACATAAATCACTTTAATCAAAACCTGAATTATGTACTCTAATCCGAACATTTGCATGATGGCACACTAGAACGAATCGTAGTTTCCTACCTTACTATATCTCATACTTGGTGGCTAGTAAAAATGTATCACTTGTAATCCACGTGTAATCATTCACCAAAAGAAGAATAAAACATATTTCTTCTTCCACATCTATGGCCTGTGATACTAAAGAAAAAGCCAATACATTACTTAATAAAGTGTCTATATGAAACGATATTTTACAACTGTGCTACTGTATACACCCAGGAGTCATAGAATTAAATATTTTAGCAGAGTGAGAAATTTTTCATCATACCATCACGTACGGTTTCAGGTAGTTATATTATTCAAATTAAGATGCACAACAAATTGCTAGATTAAAGAACAATTCATTACCTGATGATAACTGACAACATTGAAATTCTTCTAATTTTTAACAAAGATTTGAGGTCTGTGGACGAAAGCACTTCCACATAATCATCTTTAGAACTGATAGAAGGTCACACGGTGAATCATGAGTAGGCTAGAGTTGAGAATTACAGACTGTTGAATAGCAGATATGAAGCTTAAGCGTTCTGAAGTGTCCTGTTATCAGGCAAATGCTCCTATTACTATTTTGAGTAGGATAAAGTAGATATAAGTGCAGTTTATGCAGTGAATATTCACCTCACCTGAACGCTTACTATGCATGACATTCGTTGGATTATTAATTTAGATTTAAAATTGCTCCAAAGCTCATTATTATGTGACTGCAGTTGTTTAAGCCAGCGAATTTTTGAAGCATTATGGGTTTATTGCATGAACAAGAGAATGGATTATTATAGGTATTATAGATAAAATTTTAACTTAATGAATAAATATTGCCAAAATATTCAAACTATCGGTTTGATCACGGGCAGTAACTTTGTTCGAAATATTACCAAAATAAAAATCATCATTATGAGCAAACTTAGCAATAAACATTTATCTATAAAAGAAAGTTTTTCAAAAGTAGACTTAGTGCATTTGAAATAATAGCTGTGAGTATCACTAAAGGCCAATAATGCTGCAGAAAAAAACACATGAGGATTGATGCAGTCGTTGCTTAGGAAATTACACAGAGTATTCATAAAATACTAAGAATTCACATTAGAAACACTTCATGCAACTAATTTTAGCAATCTGTATTCAAGAAGGATTGCTCCATATTTTCTGTTCCCTGTTCATTTTTCTTCTGTACTTTTTGCTCTTCCTAGTGACATCACACCTCATGCTACTAACAAGTGTTCTTAATAGCAGAACACTAAACAAAACCAGTCATATTTTTTGGTTTATAACTCACTGTTTAGTGACGAATAGAACACTGAAATCTTGTAACTATCTACTAACAATCAAAGTAAGTTGTGAACTGAATCCTACAGCCTAGTGGACATGTCAAAAAATGCTCGATATAATTTGATCAGCACTCAGGACTAAATAACATGGAATTTGTTACCCTGCACCGACGAATCCAGTCCTATAGGAGGATGATAACAAACTGAATAGCTCAGTGGTAACGCAGTTCGGACCTTACAGGAGACATCAGTCCCCTCGAGGTTGCAGGTTGTTGACGAGCGCCAACAAGCACGATACCAAGGGCTTCCTGTGGATAAGTACCAACCATTTAACATCTTTTACATATATTATAAGGCATAAAGAGTAGGGTAAGCTAGATAAGTGCTAAGAGATATACCTCCAGAAAATGCCAGTGAACCGCAACATCTCATATGTATGAAATAAACGCCTTTTCTGGAAAAAATTTAAAATTTCATGACAGTTTGGTCCTGTTGGCTGATTTCGGGTCTTCCGAAGTTAAAAGAAAACAGGAGAATATGAGAAAATATCCGGAATCAAAACCTTACTCTAAATCCGTTGGAAGAAGCTATTTTTCATCGATAATAAGTTAAAATACCTGCTTCTGTTCGAAAATAATAAAAGCCTGTCTACGTCAGGAAAAGGTTTCCCTGAGCGTAACTTATTTTTCTAATCTTCCCCTCATAAAAAAGTAACCCAGAACCGATTTCGGTAATGTGTTGGTTCTTCATAGATCTTTCGCTCCACAATATCCAGACTTTTAGGAAGTGTTGTTTCTTGTATTAATTGATGATACATTCCCTCGCCTTCCAAACAGCTTGCTGCCATCCAAAACGTTGCTGCTGGTTTATAATCTGTACAAGACTCTGTTTCTGAAAGTTCAACGGAGTTTAATTGTAAATTACAAGGCTGAACAAGCATTGAACTATAACGACATTTTCGCTCAGTCCTGTCAGCAACCAGAATTTCATTGGAAAAACAGTATCAGAAGAGCTATATGTTTACATCACTCATTGAGTTTCGAGTATAAGGTTATGTAAAGCGCAGTACTCGAGTATTGCTCTGAAGCAAGTGTATTCCTGTTTCTGCGGAGACCACTTGTGTCTTCATAACTTGCAATTCACTCAAATGTTAGAGAACAATAATCTCTGAACTCAGTTAAGGCGATTATTTTGTTAAGTTTGCAGCCATTCGCAATTATAGATAACTATTTTCCACCTTCGAAGAATTAGCTACTGCTTCAAAAGAATCATCTACATTTCCTCTACTTAAAATAACTTTTTTTTCGTTGCTTGAATGTGAACTTTGATGTTTGGTCATTTGGCTATACGAACTTCATGTTCTTTACGACAAATACTGACCGAAATCTGTTAATGAAATGTTCAATGTGGTAACAAAGTTCATAAATGCAACAAAAGTGTTGACTTTGTCTGATCTATTTAGAGAACATCAGCAGAAAGCTCTGAATGTAATTTTCATCTTTCCTGTCTAGAATCTTTTTTCCTTTAAAAATGCCATCTTAGAGTACTCAACTAAGTTTTTAAGTTTCGCATGTCGTTTCCGCTTTTAAACGGTTTTTCTAAAATCGCTGTATATTTGATTCATTTAATTAAGAATCTCAACTTTTTTTTCAAGTCCACAAAGAAGGGTCTTAGTTATTCACGCATCACTGACTACATATATAAATGTGCACATCATTCATCATCTTAAGGCAATGGAATAAGAATAGTCATCATAAAAAAAACAGTAAATATGGGGCTATCAATTTGTTTGTTGAAATCAGGTGCAATGAACTAAATTTTCTGACTGAACAACTCGATTATAAAATTCACCCACATGAACGCAAATAACGAGAGAATCAACGTTGCATAATGCTACCATAAAATTTGTAAGCAATAACACACTTATATTTACTCGATATCTAACAAAACATTTACAAGCACCTTATATCTAAGTAGTCTAATAAGTAAGAACACACTATGATGTGTTTAAATTTGATTAATCCTTTATTTCGTTTATGCCATAAAATATTTTCTTCAGAACAGCACTTGGTAACCGGAGCATACTAATGTGCTGACTTGTTCAAATAAATGAAACCGTATCTGACCTCTCATCATATAAACTAAGTATTTCAAAATCCATCGAATCATTTTTCCACACATAATCAATTATGACATCATTGGAAATTGATTATATCTGTTCACTGATAAATTAATTGACACATAGTCTGGTGGATTGGCAAGAAATCATCACATCAAACTAGTTTAGCAAATTCTTCGACCAGTATCGGTGCAGCGCATAGACGTTTATCTAAACAAACAAAAAATTATTGTGTTTGGAGTAACAAGCTTATCTCTTCCGATAAGTCGAAGTGACACTAATGAGTTCATAACTCACCGTAAAAACAAATACTCAATGTGGTGGACAAATGATGATGGAACGACTGATAGGTGGTGTGTCAAGTTTTCCTTCCAAAGTCAATCATACGGAAATTTACGAATAGGCCAAGTAAATCAGTAAGAAACATAAAAATAGGAAGGAACAGAAAAGCCACTTATGAGGTACAGGCAGATAAATCAAAAATCAAACCTGGCACAGAAGTGCATCAGTTCAAATTACCTGACTTCACATCAGCATGCAAAGAAGTGAATAGAAAAAGAATGATACTAAGTCTAGAGTACAGTTCGTAATGAAGTTAATCTAATTAAAATATTGTATTACTCTTAAAGTTTGACTAATTAAGTAGTACGACTAAAAATTCACAAAGATACGAAAGGCGAAAAATCGGTTCATTTGATATGTATAACTGAAACATTGGCACTTTTGATCAAAAGCTACCTAATATAATGCAAATTTGAATAGCCAATACACCTGTAAGTACCAGTGGGAGTTCAAAACTGCTTATCAAGTTTTGATCATACCACGACAATCTGAATTGTTTCAGAATACAGCATTGGCCTTAGTTGCTTTTTATCGCAAATACATTGGTTAAGTAGGCTTAAAATGTTTCAGTGAATTTCGCTTATTAGACAACAACAGCAAATAAATAGTCAATGTATCGATTGTATAGGTATCATTTCGATTAAATTCAGATGACTCTTTTTACTGACAGATCGAGGTTCCTATGGCTTTTGAAAAATTTCAAGGCATTTTGAAGTCGTCGAAATAAGTATTTGAAGAACGTTCATGGTCAAAAGCTGTAAAATTGGTTCAACTAATTTAAGCCAATAGGCGCAGAAACTCACTCATCTGTGCAACGATTGTTTTTCAAATCACTAAATAGCTCTATAATCCTTTGGTAGAAGAATATCGCACAATTGGTCAAAGAATGATATATATTAGTTGACGTTTTTATGTGCTGAGAAGAAACTTCACAGGTATATATCCGTCTTCTGAGTAGTAAATTATTTGGTATGGCTCACAGTAGATGATCACAAATAAAATAAAGCTGAAACATTAAAAAACAATGAAACGGAATTTCACTTTCAATGTCAGCAAAAGAAGCTAATTTTTTAATTTTCTAACCCAACATTTAACCAGACTTTATTTTGTCAATTGTGATAAAATGAAGGGTTTTACTCAATTTTACTGGAGCGAAGCGTTGATTCATCTTCAATCTTTTCTCTAATTGAGGTCGAAAAAATACTCTAAACATAGGGTGGACAAATACCTTTCACCTCATTCATTTTCACTTTTCGGATGCAATATATTCTGTAATTTTTGATGCACTAGTTAATGGCTCAACCGACTGATTTATGCATTCAAAAATGGTTTAACAACGGGAGTATCATAGGTCACTTGAGAAAAGTAAATAATCGATTATTAAATTATAAACATCCAGGCCACAGTTTTTACGGATGTTCTGAATGAATCCATTATTAAACTTGAAATGTCGTCAACAAGACGTCGGCCAAAACAAGCTCTATATAATTTTAAACGGTAAACTAGTCTTACTTTTGAGCAGTTTAAATAAAGGATAAAACCTATGGCCGGGTCATAAGTTTTCTTGTAGTTAATCAAAGTAAAAACAATACTACATTACTGATGCAGTCATAACAGCTATTAACAAGCATGATACCAAAGCATAGGACCTATCGCTAATTGTGTCATCACATGAAATCGAAGTTGTGTTATTCATTACCATACTTCGAAGTGAATAAAACTGTTTTTTCTCAATTCATATACTTGAATTTCGCCGGAAACTCGAATCAACTTTGTGTACCTGCTAGAAACGTAAATGTCAGTTTATGTATATATGAATAATGTTGCTTTTGTGAATTCACTTATTTTTTCTACGGAATAACAGAAAAGAGTGACTATCCCATGAATAAAATAATGACTATGCCCTATGTACTGATGCTTCCCGTTCAGAGAAACTAAAAATCAGTTGAAATGAACGATGGCATGTAGCTTCAGTTCCTTTCCAGAATAATTACCATTTAGCCATTCAACGATGACAATAACTCTTTAGTCCTCTACAAATATGCATTCTAGATTAGGTTTCTATATTCCTAGTCTGAAGGTCACATTATCAGCTGGCTGTCACCATAATCTATTCGGAAAGTACGGTCAACATGCATGAAAATCGAAAGCACAGAATAATAAGTTTTTTTAGTCTAGAATTACCTGTCGCCTGAGCAATCAGTGACGTGTACTTTATTTCGAAAGTACGTGAACTGCAATACCTATATATTACTTATTCTAACAAACGTTCATAAAAGTACCAAATTAATGATGATCGTTATTTTATAATAGTTTTACAAATAGTGCGAATCGCAGAATGCATTACATCAGCGTCCGAGATGTTTTAGAAATGCTTGTCCGACCAATCAACGAAACTTTCACTTTCAATAGTGTGTTAAATCCAGGAGAAACGTTCAGTCACTGGCACATACCGTTCTTGAAAATAAAAAACCGTTAAAACGCATACACAATCTAAGCGTGTTCATGTACTGAATTAGATTTCCGCCTTTTTACTAATCGAATTGTGGCCATTTCGACGGTACAGAGACCAAGTACACAATGTAGCAAGTTTAAAAGCAACATCAGAGCAGATCAAAAAACATTTTCACAATGCCCACATTTACTTACACGTTATTTGTCAATAACCAGCGCTTATTTTATTATTTCATTATATATGCTCATATTTCACACCGCAGGGTGTGCAAAAGATAACCGCAAAAATTAGTGAAGCGTTGCCAGCAGCGCCTAGATCAACCAGATATCTCTGTGCTCCTAGTTTCAGAAGTGTTTATAACTAGCGTTGTTGAACTCAGCAACAGCAATACTTAAAGATTTCCACGGGTGTAAGTGGCTCGACAACTGCTGATTCATAAAAATTACAACTTGAAGAAAAAAAGCTGTTTGCCAAAGAAATGTAGTTATTCTGAGTTAATTAGCTCCTAAAAGTTATCAGAACCATATAGCCAAATATGTATTTTAAATCTACGATTGCAGCGCATGAGAGCCAAAAGTCAGCCTGCAAATTCTGCTGCATACTTCACAGTTTAATATTCCTAAAAGAAGATTTATTAAGGATTCACATAATGATATCAGATAATGATGAATTTGAAGAAACAAGTCATTTCAAGAGTTTTCAAAAGGTTATGAGCCCAAATGTGAAAACCAAGAATATGAAACTTGTAGATCAAAGACTGCATATATGCAGAAGTAGGTTTCGAAAGAAGGCAGAAAATAGATGAAGCAACTTCCTGGTCTCTAAAGGACTAGCAGTCTTTGTGAACTAAGTCTATCAAATAAATGTTTAGCCTCTAGCAGCAGCCAGTGTGAAGTTATATAAATGTTGACTATACTATTACTGCATGCAAGATTCCGGAATACATATTGATCTTCTACCAAACTCCTTTTTTCATTCTCAAACATCCTGAATTATATTCATATATCCCAGCTTTATGACGACAGCTGTTCAAAAACTTCCTACTTATATCTTTGCAATGAACTGCACTTTGAAATGCTTTCTCACCCTTTAATTTTTGACTACAGCACAGGATTTACAAGACTGGCACTTCTACGGTTGATTTATTCTGAGCTGATCATCTCTTTAAGCGGTACGAAGACTTATAACAGTGGGTCACTACATTCTATACATAAATGTTTCTGAATGCCCGTAGTAGACACTACAACACTGTTTTAGAATATCTTAAGAGTACTAAGTGGAGGATAACAGTAGGCGACTAGCTGAATTACCAAAGTTTAGCCGCAAAGAAAAAATCAGTTAAGACGATAGAGTATTAGACAGAGATAAATTAGTTATAGTTTCAGACAACTTCTGATGGGCTATAACGTCTTTTGATTTTTGAGGCATTTGATAGCAAGATTTTCGTTTGCTAACACTGACTTTCTTATTTTATAACTCTCTAACGCTATGCTTATATCATTCAGCACTGCATTAACCTCTTATACTGTTTCCATTTTAATCCTACTAAAGTGAGTTACTTCTCATCACAGCTATGACTCACAATAGGATAGCTCGGAAATTTATCGACTTCATTGTATTACGACTTACTGAGCAAATAATATAACTCTTGGCTGTTTTATTATGTACAAAAATTTGACAGACTATAAATTTATGCAGTCATATCGAGTTATATGACAACCATAGCATACATTTACACCTACTTTTTATTAGTTCTTCAAAATTATATTGCTTCTTATAAATCTCCAAACGTTACTTTGGCCAATTATTGGGCGAGTCATGTGAATTCAAAAAACAGCTACCTACTTGTCATGTAACACTCTTTTTTTAAAAACTTTAAAATATGCTTGTTTTTCGAATTTTGGTAACTAGCGAAATACAAGCATAATTTTCCGACCTTACCTTTCGGATTTAGCTGGGAAGATAAGACAGTCACACAAGCAGGACGGAAGAACAATCAAATGCAAATACTTTTTCATTCTTAGAAAGCTTTTGTCTTTTCAAATTCATAGCAAACAGTGAAAACGTTTCGAAACAAGTGAAAAAGAATTATCGGTTACTTTACTTCACAATGTGATCACTTTATGTGAGATATTTCAGAGATTTGAAAGCAATAGCATCAACAGAAAGCGATTACCAATCTACACAGCGCCTCATGCAATAACTTATACACCGTTGCCCTAGTGCATCTACAATCACTAGAGGAGTTTCAGCATTTCATTAATATGTTAGACAAGAGTTTTCTGCAACATGAGGCTACAATAGTGCCCTAAATTCAACTCCGACCTCGTCACTTTATTCGCACAAGGGAAATTTTTAACGTCAAATTTCAGTATACAGAGTTGTATCTCTTGTGGTGATACTTCTCATGCAGCAAATATAATAATAATAGAATTTCTTACTACCATATTGAAGGTTGTTAAAGTGAAATGTGTATTGCACTGACTCATTGTTTAAAAAACACCTGACATTTTACAGGTAAAAAACAAGTTATCAAGTCATAGAAAGTACAAAACTAAGCCCTGTAACAAACGTCTTACCCAATATTTAACCGCTTATGTGATCACAGTCTTGGAAAACACCTTTTAAACCAAACCATCTACTTACCTGCGCAAATTAACACTTTCTGGCAATCTAGATAGACTAAAATTTCTCCTGTTTCACTTACCGTACACCAATATAATGGTGCTGATACAACTTAACATCTCATTATGAATGTCTCTGACCTCTGAAAAGCATTTTATGCTGTTTCAAAAGTAAAGGCAGTATTAGAGAGAGTAGATGGTAACTGTGTTAATTTCTTATGTGGTATTTTACCAATTTGATTTCGGAAATTCATATCAGAAAATCATGTTGTGTCGCTCTTAAGCTTATCGTTATAGCAACAATATAGGCTCTGTTATAATATGCTAATTTACTTAACTCCACTACATCATCAGTTCAACTATATCTCCATGATGTTAAAATAAGTATGCAAAACACAAAACACGGAAATATGAGAAGGGCTTTTACTCAGCATCTGAATGATTAATCTTTAGCAAATGCCAAAGGCTTAAAAAAAGCATATAGCAACACAAATCATGTGTCACTGTGGGATTACTTTATCAAATATTAACCGGCACTTATTATTGGAAATAGATGGTTTTATCAGCAAACTCCTAAACAGTAGAAATAAAAGTTTGAAAAATGCAAAGAAACGGTCTTTATTTAAAAAGACCCTCGATAGACGTAAATTACCTCTGTCCACTTTGATATGCAGCACTGCACATAGGTGAAAGCTTCTGACCAGAAACTCAGAGAAATCAAAAATATACAGCAAACGAGATCATTTTAAATGCTGATTCGTTGGCATTTCAACGAGGTACTTGTATCCCTTTTACACTCGAGATGAAGTATGTTAACTGAATCATATAATTTCTATTACCTATCAGTAGCTATTGGTTTATTAACTGCATATATGTTTTCCATCACTTTTCCCCTACAAGATTACAAGTGTTCACTCCAATTGCGTCAAGTTAGCAAACAGAATTTGAAAATATGCCAAAAATACTTATGTTATACTTTCAACAGATAGAGTTTTTCAAAGAATGTAGGCTCTGCAGTTTCCAAGCGCAACAAGTAGCACAACTATCTATGAGAATATTTTTCACTCTACGAATTTTAAACACTAAACTTTACGGCAGCATCATCCAATATCTTGACAGTCGACACCCACCGTCTAAGTGAATCAGATGACAGATGACAAATAAGATCAGTTTTGTGCAGCTGATAGTGAAATACTTGTAATGACAGTGTACTAACCAAATCGGAAATCGCAGTATTAAAATGCAGTTTACTCAAATTACCGAACTTCGAAGTGTTCATGAGGAGTAATTATATGTTTTCTCCTCCAAAAATGAGTTCATAACGCAAACGTTTACTGTTCAGATTGCGACAGGAGTATTAGTAGTTTCTTCCCAGTAAGAATCAAAGTACACGATGAGCATTTAGTAGACAACTGCGCAACACTGATATAAAAATTGGACCCAAGAGTGTTACCACTCAATACATAGGTAAAAAAGCAGTTTAGTTATACTGAATTCAACTAGTTGTATTTTTAACCACAGGCAATCAGCTTGATAGTTATTCAGTGCCGTATATACGTCATGACACTATAAAGTGGAAATTGTAGATATCACCAGAGCAACAGGTTAGCGTGGTTCAGCAGGACTTTTTTAAATGATGCTAAAAAGGGAAAATCTAATGAAAATTTCAACGTGTTAACTTAACCAACGCAACAAACAATACTTCAAAACAGAAAGGCAGTTTCTCCTGAAAGTAGATGTCTTGATGGAGGCGTTTACACTCCTGCGAAAGGTGAAGATGATGAAAACAAATTAAATTCAGCTAATAATTAGTGAAAGAATGATCTCACAGCACAAGTAGTGAACGTTATTTACTGAACATCAAGTAGTAATACTGGAAACCTTTACATCACGAAAACGACAGAATAATAAATTCAAAAAACACCTCAGAAAGTTAATTACATTGCTTTCGATAAAATGAGTCTAAAACGTTAAAAAATACAGCTTACTTCGGACAAGAACAGATAATGCTTTGGTACGCGCGTTCACAGCTCTCACTATACGAAAATGCGCCATAAACTAAATACAATTTTTCAGACAGTAAAACACAGTGAAAATCATGACAGAAGGCACTATGAGCTAAGTGACTGATAGCATATCATTCTAATAGATTTTGCAGTAAATTCATGCTTCTTGTGAGCAATTAATTAGTCGTTTAGGCCTATTTTCAATGACATCAAGAATATATAGGTCTGCTGTCATATAACAACTAATATCAGTAGTGCATGTAGGGGAAATCTGTAGTTTTTGACCAATTCCTTTTAGGTCTTGAGGAGTGGTTCTTTTTTCGGTTATACTCTCTCGCTGCTCACAGAAGTCTTCACGGTTTTCCTTCTTATAGATTTAATTTAGTGACTGCCTATTTGGAGGTATTTTTCTTGCGAACTATATCCTGGCTTTTTGGAGGGCAACGAAGTTGCTGATAAAGTTACCCTTTCCTTCGAAATTCTTTTTTTTTGCAAGCACCTGCAAGTAGGTGTGAAGTGTCTCTTAAAAGTTTATAGAAATAGGTCCCTCCTGGACCGGATAAAATCCATCCGGAGGTATTGCGGGAAGGGGCTTCAGTCCTTTGAAACTTTAAGCAAGTTATTTAAGAACTCTCTGGGTGAGGGAATGGCACCCTACTCTTGGATGCTGGGCCACATAACGTCAATCATCAGAGGGGGTCAATGAACTTGTAGCGTCATACACTTCCCCAAAATCAATAGCCTAGGGTTTGACGACTTCGACATTGATGCTGACCTTGATAGTTTAACTGGACTCGCTAAGCTGAAGGCACCCGGTCAAGCATCCTCGCCATTTGGCACGCTGTCGTGTTACGTTGCATTGCTCGTATTCGACTCTCTAGCCAGTTAGTTGGAACGCATCGGTATTTTGGCATAACCATCCAAATATACTATTCCATCCGACTACGCTATCGTGTTCTTCCTTGGTCTCGTATTCGTGGGTATATAACAAGTTCGAATAATTAGTGATTGGTCTTTGCGTCTGTCAAGTTCGCACCAGGACAAATCCTAAATTGGTGAGCCCGACGTGATCACATATCCCGACCAATAACAAGTATTGAATTGGTGAGCCTGTTCCATTTTATATTTGTTTATTGTTTTCATTTCGATAACATTTATATATCCATTTACTACACTTTCTCATGTCCGACCACACTCCCAAGCTTATTCGTATTAAGCCGACTTCGAACACGTGCCATATTGGCCAGACAATGCAGAAACATGGTTTCTGTATGCCGAGGCCGATTTTCGAGAACAGGGTGTCTCAGATCCTCATTCTCGATTTCTTGCTGTCATACGTTCACTACCGCGAGAATTAAACAGGTATGTTACAGCAAACATGTTTAATCCTGAAGTAAGTGACCCTTATGCACTTCTAAAGGCCGCACTCTTGAAGAAAAGCGATCTCACAGATCGCCAACGTCTAGACGAATTGCTTCGTAACATCGAGCTAGGCAGCCACTCAGCTACTGAAGTCCTCGCACGCATGCGAGAAGTAATCGGTGCACGAACATTTGACGATGGTTTCTTCCGAGAACTATTTCTCTCGAAACTACCACAACCGGTGCAAACCGTGTTGGTGACACTCCAGTCAGTCCCACTCGACGACCTGGCAGCCTCAGCAGATAAAATACTGGAGATATCCAGCAGACCCGTCTCCAACGTATATTCTATCTGCGACAAAACAGAGCGCCAGGATTCAGAGGTGACCAAGTTGTGCAACTCTGTGAAACGGTTGCTACGATCTCGAAGTCCTAGATCACGTAGCACTTCACAGAAACGCACCTTGGCGCATCGCAGCAAGTCGCGTGGTAGCCCTAAAACGAAACCCAACAGGGTGGAAAACCCTGAATGGTGCTGGTTTCATAACACTTACGGGGATGAAGCCAGAAAATGTCGTAAACCATGCCGTTTTAAGAAGGACCCAAACTCGGGAAACGGTCACGCCGGCACGTGCTCACGGCAACCGTAGCCGGCGGAAAAAGCCGTTTGCTCTACGTCACCGACATTAAAACGAAAGTCCGCTACCTCGTCGACACCGGCGCAGAAGTTAGCGTTCTTCCAGCAACGACAAAGGAGCGTCATCTCGACCCATCCTTCAATCTTCAAGCAGCCAACGGCAAGGCAATCGCGACATTCGGGAGACGGTATGCCTACCTCAACTTAGGTTTACGCAAACCTATTCACTGGATTTTCCTCCTGGCAGACGTCTCTATGCCCATCATTGGCATAGATTTGCTGAACCATTACGATCTACTCGTAGATGCTCGCCGTCGACGACTGATAGATAACAACACAAAGTTATCTATTGGCGGCACCACCTATGTAGGTCCGAGTTTAGCCATCGTTAGGACTAAACAATCAGGCGACGCGTCCTACCAGGCAGTTCTGGAGAAATATCCAGAGTTACAACAACCGAAACACACTCTTCCGTGCATAACCAGCAATGTTATGCATCACGTCACAACCACAGGTCCACCTGTGGCATCCAAAGCGCGCCGTTTAGCCCCCGATAAGCTGAAACGGCGAAAAATGAATTCGACCATATGCTCGAACTGGGCATTATCAGACCGTCAAACAGTCCTTGGGCATCGCCATTGCACATGGTTCCCAAAAAGGATAGCAACGACTGGCGTCCGACCGGTGATTACCGAAGGCTTAACGCCAAAACAACTCCGGACTGCTACCCTATACCCCACGTTTACGACTTGACCGCAACCTTATGCGGCATGAACATTTTCTCGAAAATCGACTTGGTCAAAGCGTACAACCAGATACCTATGGCAGCAGAAGATATCGCGAAAACAGCCATTATTACTCCTTTTGGCCTGTTTGAATTCCTGCGCATGCCTTTTGGTCTTCGGAATGCAGCACAAACATTCCAACGCTTTATGGACGACGTCTTCCGTGGTCTGAATTTTGTTCATGTCTACATCGATGACTGTCTAATTGCGAGTCCAGATAAGGAAACACACCTTAAACATTTGGACCTCGCATTCGAAAGACTCAAAAAACATGGCATCACAGTTAACTTACAGAAGTGTGAAATAGGAGTTGAATCACTCAGCTTCCTTGGGCATACCATTGACAACAAAGGTATACGCCCATTGAGAGATAAAGTGGCGGCTATCACAAACTATCCAGAGCCGACCACTGTGAAACATCTCCGCACTTTCAATGGCCTGGTAAGTTATTACCGAAGGTTTATCCCTAACTGTGCCTCTGTCATGAGACCACTCACAGATCTACTTCGAGGAACTGCGAAGTTCGTGTCTCTGGACAACGCGGCTAGACTTGCTTTCTCCAAAGTCAAGGAAGCCATTTCGAACGCAACCATGCTTATGCATCATGACCCCAATGCTCCTCTGAGTATTGCTGTTGATGCATCTGATTCAGCAATTGGAGCAGTTTTGCAACAGTTGACTGACAACCAGTGGCAACCGTTAGCCTTTTTCTCGAGGCGGCTGCAAGACGCGGAAACAAGATACAGTACATTTGGTAGGGAACTCCTAGCCATGTACTGTTCTGTACGCCATTTTCGACATTCTGTGGAAGGTCGTGATTTCATTATTTTCACAGACCACAAACCGTTAACGTTTTCCCTCAGCTCGGCGTCTGACAAATACTCCCCTCGTGAGTCGCGACAGCTGGATTACATTTCCCAGTTCACGTCAGACATCCGCCACATTTCTGGAGCAAACAACTCCGCAGCCGACGCACTATCTCGAATAGCTTCGATAAACTATATCGAGGGTATTGATCTCGTTGAACTAGCTCGGCGTCAAAAGGAAGACCTTGAGCTGCATCATGAGTTGTCGTCCACAACTCTCAAACTGCGACTTTGTCCTGTTGGATCAGACAAGGATGCAATTTTGTGCGATGTCTCTGCTAGTCAACCACGCCCAATAGTTCCGAAGAGTTGTCGACGCAACGTCTTCAATACGTTGCACAAACTCTCTCATCCAGGTGTACGAGCCACCATTAGGCTTATCGCACAACGTTTCTGCTGGCCTGGGATGAACAAAGACGTTAAGGAGTGGGCCCAGTCGTGCTTAGCTTGTCAAAAGTGTAAAGTCACGCGACACACGAAAAGCCCTTTAGGCTCATTTCTAGCCCCAGACATGCGTTTCGACCACGTCCATATAGATATTGTAGGACCCCTACCAGAATCTAATGGATGTACCTACCTTTTCACCTGTGTTGATCGTTTCACACGATGGCCGGAAGCAGTACCCATTAAAGATATTACTGCCGAAACAGTTGCTCGTGTTTTCGTCGAAAGATGGATCGCGAACTTCGGATGTCCATCCTACGTCACAACCGACCGTGGGCGCCAATTTGAGTGCGGACTATTTCACGCTCTAACGGCACTTTTAGGTTGCACTCGGTTCCGAACGACAGCCTACCATCCACAAGCAAATGGCATGGTAGAGCGTTTCCATCGACAGCTGAAAGCTTCCCTTTCAGCTACAAACATACCTCAGTGGACCGAGGCTCTGCCTCTAGTCCTACTAGGTATTCGTAACGCGTTGAAAGTTGATGCTGGATGCACTCCTGCAGAACTCGTCTATGGGACCACTCTTCGCCTACCAGGTGAGTTTGTTTCCCCTTCAACTTTCAAACACGTTTCCGACAGGGCATCTTACGTGACTAGGCTTACAAACGCAATGCGTTCAGTTAGGCCTTCTCCGATTAGACCGCAAACGACTGATGTTTTCGTCCACCCCAGTTTACAGAAGACATCACACGTGTTTGTTCGCCACGACGCTGTTCGTCGACCACTTGAACCACCCTACGACGGGCCGTTCAAAGTGATTAAGCGACATGAGAAATTCTATGTAATTGAGCGAGGCGGACGTGAAGATACTGTCAGTATCGACCGTTTGAAACCAGCTTATTTCGAAGGCAACCCCATTGTAAGTGACGTTTCAGCTCGCTACATCCGACCGACGGATGACTCAATTATCGAAATTCTCGACGATGTGCCTGG